GGAAAGAGAACACAGGGGCGTGGGTGTGTGAGAGCATGTGTGTTCACGTGAGTGTGTAAATGCACGAGAGCTTGTGTTGGAGAGTATGCGTATGACAGCAGGGGTGTGTGAGGGCAGAGACATAAGAGCAGAGGGTGTGTGTGTGTGTGTGTGTGTGTGTGTGTGTGTGTGTGTGTGTGTGTGTGTGAGTACATGTGTGTGGGGGGGGAGTCCCCCCGGTGTGTGTGTGAGTACATTTGTGGGGGGTGGCAGGCTCCCCCAGGCCAGGCCAGTGGTATGTGAGTTTGTGCCCTGAGCTCAGGTGCGCCATCCAGGGCTGGTGGCGGAGTCCCCACCACTCTCCTTCCCAGCCAGGTATGTAAGGCCCCTTGGATGGCTGGTACAACTAACCCTCGCAGAGGGAAGCATCCTGCCCTCATGATCGCAGCCCCAGGTCTAGGGCTGCCGATGGGGGTGTGGGGCGGAATTGAACAGGGGCCCAGCATTTCAAAGGGGCCCAGAGCTCTTGGCCTCCGACCAGGCCCCTTTGAATTACCAGGGGACCATCGCTCCGCATGGCTCCGATAGCTATGAGGGGAGGGCCCAGCACCACGCTCCAAGAGATGCTAAGGACTGACTGTCCTTGGCCCCGCCCCTTCCACCCGAGGCTCCACCCCTTCTTCAAATCATAGCATTAGAAGAGACCCCAGGAGGTCATTGAGTTCAACCCCCCTGCCCAAAGCAGGACCAACCCCCCCCCCCCACCCACACACCCCCCTTGCCCAGTGGCCTAGGAAGGCCATGGGATTTTGCTGGGCTCAGGGCTGGATTGCAGGGCAAGGAGCCGGGACTCCCACACCGAGGCCTAGTGGTGGTAAGAGACCAGCACCCCACTGAGACTCAAGGGAACTGGAGCATGAGGCCCATGATGTCTCATTAGCTCCCCAGCCCGCTCCCACGGCTGCAGCCGGGCGTACCTGGAGGAGGTGCCCAGCGCAGTGATGAGGGCCTGCAGAAGGCCTCCGATGAACACCCACGGGTTCTTGTGGGTGACGATGAAGTACAGCAGTGGCAGGACACACAGGGAGTGGATGAGCAGCCCCACAATGACGGTGAGCGTGTACATCCCCAGCTGGCCTCCCATCACGGCGAGGTCGTCCATCTCCAGGATCTTGCCGGCGATTAAGAACAGGATCCCGACGGGCGCGTACCTGGCACAGGACACAGGGACAGGGGCTTAGAACTGGCTTCGGAATGCCCCCGGCGCTCCCCTTCACTGGACAAAGTCACATGAGCCCGGGACATCCAACGACACCGGCCACTCGTGGGGTCACCTGATGCGACTACGGCTGCGCCTTCCTGGAAGGGGCTTCAAATGATCCAGCAAGGTCTGTTTGTCGGCCAGTGGCCTCAGTTCCCATGTGACTACACAGGGAGGAGCCCGGAGTGAGGTTCTCCCTCAACTGAAATCCACCCTCTGTGTGGGCACTAATTTCAGCAGCGTGGGCTCCCCCTCTTTGTCCCCAGCCAGGCCTACTAGGGCCTGGGCCCGCCCCCCTGAGGGCAGCAGGAGCTCAGGTGAGGCCCTGGCAAAAGAACTGAGCAAGCACTGGCTGCACAGACATTTGTATGTAAACGCTGCTTGAAAGATCCATGGGACCCAGCGGTGCCAGTGGGGCTACAGACGCTGCACACGGGGCCGAGCAGAGGCAAGAGGAGGCGCTGGTCAGGAAACATTTTGTCTGAACTCTCTTTGCCTCAGCCCTTACATCCTCTTCCTGCTTTGAGGCCTGCTGCTCCATAAAATAACAACAGAGCACATGTTCAACAGATTAAAAAATGGCTAATGAGCAATCTCAAAGAGTAGCTGTCAGCGGGGATTCATGACATGGGGATGTTTCTAGAGGGGTTCCACAGGTACTTGGCCCAACACCATTCAACACTAACTGAAGCGCCTGGAAGAGTGGTGCGGGGAAAGCTGTGTGTGTTCCACACCTGCAGCAGCTAAGTGACCCCACCTTCCCCCCACTCCAGCTCTCTGGTCCTCCAAGGATACTTCAAGCAGCATCAAGACAAGCATGTCCTGACCTCCCTGACAGAGCCAATACACACTTGGGAGTAACAATCTCATCCAGGCTTCTCCCCCCCAGCACTAAGGAGCAAACCGAGGCCCATACCCATTCGTCTCCCCTGTGCGTGTCACCTTTCAAACGCCCCCCATCTCTCCTGAGAACCTTACCCCACCCACCCTGCTCCTCACCAGATGATAATGGCCACCAGCCTCATGATGGCTTCGTTGAGGCTGTTGAAGAACTCCTGCAAGGCCCGGCCCTTCTGCTTCATGCTGCCAACTACCAGGCCAAAGCACACAGAGAAAACCACCAGGCCCAGTGCGTTCACCCCATTGGCCGAGCCGGGGATGGGAATGGTTTCCTCAAAGCTCAGCACTTCCTGAAGGCTTCCAAGACTGCCTGTGACGTTCTCCGGGGTATCAGTGACGTTCTCGGGACCGGAAGCCTGCCAGTTGGCCAGGGTCCCTGCTGTGACGTTGCTGCTGCGGAGGATGGTTCTGGTGAAGACCCGGGTGCCGTACTGGGTCTTGTACTGAAACGATATACAATTATCTGCTGTCTCCAGGTCCCTTCCAGTTCTACTGTTCTATGATTCACAGCTGCTGAGAAGCATCAAAAGCCAGAGCTAGAAAGAGGCAAAGACACCTGAACCCCCAGGCTGACAATTGTTTGGGCCTGTCTAATTCCCTGGCTCAGTGCACGGATTCAGATGTCTAGAATCTAGACCGTAAAGCTAGAAGGGACCCTGAGATCATTGTCTAGCACAGGCCCAGTTTCCCCTGTGTTAAGCCCAAAAACTTGGATTTACCCAACATAGACTTTCCAGAAAGCATCTTCTCTGGATATGAAAACCTCAAAAAGGAGAATCCACCCCCTCCAGATAGTTGCTCAAACTTTAAGTCTCTCACGGTCAGGCATTTTCTCTGGACCTGAAATGATTGGTGTGGGGGTGTTTTCTGCACCCTCTTAATTTTTAAAACATCCTTTTTTAAAATGCGGGGACCTGGAAGGCTGCGTCCTGTTCTGGGGCTGTCTCCCCACTTCTGGGAACACAGGTAGAAACATCCCCCTGCTTCTATCGACTGCACCCCTCTTTATCCATCCAAGAGTTGCATTAGTCTTCCCTGTCACAGCATCGCACCAGGTTGCGTTCTGTTGCTTGCCCACTTAGATTCCTAAGTGCTTGTCTGAGTCACTGAGAAAAAATACCCAACAACAAAAAAACACCACCACCATCTTGCCTCCCTGCACCAGGCCAGACAGCTCCCCTGTGGAACCCCGTAAGCACGAGGGTTTCCAGGCTGCCTCCGTATTGATCTGGACAGCCTGGGATTTTCGCCTCCTGACCGGGGGGGGGGGGGAAAAGATCAGACATTTTAGGTGTCAGTATTTTCTGATTTTTTTTTTTTTTTTAACCAGACAGGAGGAGAAAATACCGGATACCTGGCAACCCTACCCCTACCTCACAGGCAGCACAGGGCTGGCATACAAGGCCCCACACTGCCCCCAGCAGGCCAAGTGCAGGAGGGATAGTAGCCAGAGAAGTCTGTACTCTAGCAAGTCCGGGCTGCCGACCAATCCATAGATACGGCTGCCTGAGAGCTGCTCTAATTTATATTGGTGGCTGCAGTGGTCACTGGAGCAGTGCATTCTGGGAGGTGCAAAGATGGCTTCACGCCATCCCCTGGGCTGCATCTCCAAGGGGGGAAGGGAGCAGTTCAGAGAGCAGCCTCTTCTGCAGAGGCCTAAAATACAACACAGAGCATTGGGCAGAAAGGAGCAGGCCAAGGGAACTGGTGTCCCTACCTGTTTGAAGCAGGCTTCCACGAGGTTCGGCGGGAACATGTTCCTGCAGCAGATAAAACAGGAGAAGGTTACGCTGCCCTCTGGCTGAGAGCCAGGCCAGCAGGCCCACAGCCTGATGCTTGTGGTTAAGCGCTGGCTCGAGTCAAGTTTTGTGAAAGCTCAATGCCGAGAGCACTGAGTCTCCTTTCAGGTTATTCAGCAGCTTTCCAGACACCTCCCAGTGAGAGATTGCCCTCCCCTCTTGGCTTGATACAGGTAAACGTGGCCATGCTCCCAGGGGGCAGCATGTGGCCTTGGGAGACTGGTCTATGAGAGTGAGGTTTTATGCATCCCAGTAAGAGAAAGAAAAGACCTATTAGACCATCCCCTTCATCTCCCTGCAGCCAGAGCAGGATTGTTCCTCAAGGCCTGTTCTCTGGCACAGTCCAATTTTAAGTGCTCCGAGCCAAGCAACTTCCTGCAAGAGGCATTCCCCTGCCTGTTACATCTCACTGTCCTGCTCCAGTGTTCAGTCCAAATGGTGCCTCTCTCCCATATCCATCACTCCTCCAGGGCTATGAGTGCTTGCAAGCTCCAGGCTTCTCGCCCTCTTCCCCAGCAGGCAGCCAGAGCTCCGGGCAATTTAAAAAGTCCCATTCATTTTGAATAGGGGCGGGAGGGGGGAGAAAAAAAGAAAGTTGGCACAGAACGTCATTTCAACTTTTTTAAAAGCAAAAATTCTGGGTTCCTCCTGCTCCGTGGAAAAGGTCCGAATTGTGAGTTTTTGTACCAATGGGGAACACGCTTTTCAAAAATGTTGGAATTTCCTGCAGAATGGGAATTTGGAGTTCTGACCATCTCACTCGAACTCCTGTCCATTTCATCCCTGCCCATCTGGGAGCAGGGTGTACAGAGCTAACGGCAAAATTCCAGGTGCACCACCACAAAGCTATCGAGAAAGGCACTAGGATTTCCCAGCAGAGACACCATGCCCCTAGATGTAATAGCATCAAAATGCCCTGGGCTTTCCACAGCCATGTCTTAGTGCAAATTCATGTCTAATTCACTGTCTGCCTTGAGCCCTCTTACCTGGTTTCTTGAGAGGCCTGCACCTTGGATAGCCATTCAGCTCTCACTAGGGCAGAGTGAGTGTGAAGTGGGTGTAAATTACTACCACATCTGAATAGCAGGACTTTAGACCTACTAAAAATTGTTCTGCTGAACTTCTGAGGCTAGGGTAAGAAGCAAGGGGCTTTAATTGAAGCAAGGAAAGTTTAGGTTGGCCATTAAGAAAAACTTCCTAACTCTCAGGGGCTGTGTCTACACTGCACCCCTTTTCCGGAAAAGGGATGCAGATTAGACACTTTGGAATAGCAAAATCCGTGGGGGATTTAAATATCCCCCGCGATATTTGCATTAACATGGCTGCCGCTTTTTTCCGGCTTGGGGATAAGCCGGAGAAAAGCAGCAGTCTAGACGTGATTCTCCGGAAAATAAACCCTTTTCCGGAGGATCTTTTATTCCTACTTTCAAGTAGGGTTCAAGTAGGAAAAGGGTTTATTTTCCGGAGAATCACGTCTAGACTGCTGGTATATTTAAATCCCCCGCGGATTTTGCTATTCCAAAGTGTCTAATCTGCATCCCTTTTCCGGAAAAGGGGTGCAGTGTAGACACAGCCAGGGTGTTTAAGCACTGGAATAAATTGCCTAGGGAAGTTGTAGAATCCCCATCATTGGAGATAGTTAAGAGCAGGTTAGACCTGTCAGGAATGGTCTAGATGATACAGTAATTACTCATTTAACATGTTTTTGCAATAGCACGATTTTTTGGGGGGGAACGTTTTTTGAATAACACAACCATCCCCGAAATAACACAAACACAATCAAGTGGCGCATTACGTTGTGCGGCGGCGATATAAGTTGGTGAAAACAGTGGTAATACGCATGAGCGGATGAATACATGTGGTCACAATGCTCCTCCACTCACTCACGTGTTTATCTTCGTGTTTTAACAAACTGCGGCAACTTGTGTTGCTAGATATCTTGTGCTGATGTTGACGACCCAGCCCTAACAAAAAAATTGACTTCGCTACCACCACCTGAAATGCAACCCCCACCTTTTCCATCATTTTTAATGGGAAAATTGACCCCACATAGCACATTTTTGCTGAGCATGAACATTTTCAGAAATGCATCTATCATGTGAAATAAGGAATTACTGTACTTAGTGTTACTGAGAGTGCAGGGGACTGGAATAAATGACTTTGAGATCCCTTTGAATCCTATGATTCCACCTTGCACAAGGTGCTGGGCGGGGGAGAGTAAGAACTAGTTCTTCTCAGCAGCTTATGCTTCCCAGGTGTCCCTGTGTCTCTGGGAGGGAAAAGGACTGTCTCAGACTGATGAACTGAAGAAAAACCCTGGTCATCAGAAGAAGTAGGCTGTGCCCATGAAAGCTTGTGATACCATCTGCATGTTTTGTTAGTCTATAAAGTGCTACCAGACCATTTATTGTTTTTTAAGTTTATCCTGTACAGACTAACTTGGCTGCCCCCTGAAGCTTCCATTAAAATTACTGGGAAGTTGGGAACCCTGCCATGGTTCCAACGCTGACATTCAGGAAAGGCATTTTGAATTCGCCATACAGGTTGAACCTCTGGTCGGGCCACCTCCATGGTCCAGCATGATTTCAGTGGTCAAGTTTCCTGTGGTCCCATAAAGTTTGTTTCATAGACTCTAGAACACTAGAGTGTGTTCTAGAAGGCTGAGTGTGTTCTAGAAGGCTAAACGTGTAAATCACGAATTCTTAAATAATCAGTGTAATTAATGCACACAAGGGTCGCCTGATTACAGGGGCACGTTCTTACTGCACACGAACTAAGTTCGCTCACCTGACCAGGTCCATGAAGGCATCCGTTGTCTGCACCTGCTCTATCTTGCCCTCCCGGTGCAGTTTGTCCTTGGACCCTTTGCCCGGATGGATGATGATCACCATGAGGATGCCGATGAAGACCGCGATGATGGTGGTCACCATGTAGTAGACTACGGCCCGCATCCCCATCTTCCCAGAGGCTTTGCCATCCAGCGAGGCCATGCCTGGGCAGGCGCATACAGCACAAGGTTAGAGCTCTTAAACTGGGGAGGGGGGAGCTGAAGGAAGGTGCAAAGGAATGTGGGATGCAGGAAGCAGACTTTGGGGGCTCTACGGGGATGGGGGATGAGGACGAAGGCTGTGGGAGCACAGAGGAATACTGCCGGAAGCCGGAAGTAGTTGACTGTGGAGATGTGCGGGGGGAGAGGGGAAGGCAGATTCTGAGAAGCAGGGAGATATGGGGATACGACACAGAGTTTGGGGTGTAGAGAATATGGGGATACGACAGAGTTTGGGGTGTAGGGAGATGTTGGGATGGGAGGCAGGCTTTGGGGGTGAAGGGAGACATGGGGGAGACGGGTACTGGGGTACAGGGAGGGTTTGGGGTACAGGAAGATGGGGAGCCTGGAAGGGGCTGGAAAGGCTGCTGGGTTAGTAACAGGAAAGTGAGCCCCTCTAAGCAGCCCCTCAACAACCCATAGTTTGCCCAGTTATCTCAGATGCACTGTGGCCCTGCACTGCTCTCACACATTTTGGGGGTGGGCACTTCTTCCTCAAAGCACCTGAAGGCAAATTAATACCCCCAGCCTTGCGCCCCCCCCCCCCCCCCGGGCTCGTACCAGGGCCATCATGCTTCCTCTTCACCCTTCCCAGCAAGGCATGAGACCTCCTGCTTCCCTGACCTCCACCCCAAGGCAGCCAAGGAATAGGCGAGCCAGTCCCGCTGGCCACAGCCCCAGTCTGGACACGGTCAGTGGGGGCCTACAGCAAGAGCTGGGTCAGTGGCTAGCAGCACCTTGGCAGGGTGCTGCCATGGCTGGGGGTGGAGGGGGGGAGGGGATGCAGACAGCTGCATGTGCTAGGAAGGTTCCTCACCCGTGACCAAGCTGGAGACAATGAGGGGAAGAACCAGCATCTGCAGCATCCGCATCAGCAGCTCTCCCGGGAAGGAGAAATACTTGATCTGGCGATAGGTCATCTTGTAGGGACGGAGGGCAAAGCCCAAAATGACCCCTGAGAAACAAGGGACAAGGAAGGTTTGCTCCAGCCATACCTCCAAATCCTACCTAGAGCAACGGCGCCTATAGTGTGGGGCCTGGATCCTACCCCACTGTCTTGCCCGTGCACGCCGACCCACCCAACCCTGCTGCTCACCCACACACTGCACCGAAGCCCCGTGGCAGGCACAGGGCCCTTCCTTGCTGCCCCAGGGCTGCCAACTTTGGTTGGACCTATTCCGGGACTAAGGTGACACCACATGACCTAGTTTTTAATGGAAGATTGAACTCTGATTCCTGGAGACCCCGGATCATAGGGCAGGGCGGGCGTCCCTGTGCTGCCCCTGCCCTCGCAGACACGCAACGTGCACGGACCTACGACAGGCCCTCCCCTGCTCACGGCTGCCCCCTCCCCTGTGTAGGAGGCCAGGAGCAGGCTACTCATCCTCCCTCCTGCGCCCACCCCCCATCGTGCACACAGAGCTTAGGATCTTCCCCCACCCGGCTACACCCCCCCCAGCCAGTGCAATGCACAAAAAGGTCATTTGGTCCTTAGTGTCACGAGCGCTGAGCGCCCTCTGGAGACGTGGCAACGCAACCGTGTCCCTCAGCACGATGGGCCCTGCATCCTGGTTGTGCTGGGGTGCCCAACCCAAGGAGCCTTCCCCAGGAGAGTTCAGAATAAATAACAGGCTCCCCCTTCAGCCCAATTTCCTCCATTATTCCCTCCCCCCTCATCCCCGGTGGCAGCCTGTTTCCTCAGCGGTGCTGCCTGTCAGCATGGGGGTGCACCTTCTGACAGCAGGCCCCGGGGCCGTGCTATGGCAACAGGAGGCACCTCCCTCTCCCCGTCCTCTAGCTTGTGGGCAGGCACAGCTCTTCCTCTGGGGCCGGTGCTGGGAGCGCCGAGCCACCGGGACGGGGGTCAGATTCTGGGGAGCCACCCCATCTAAATTGAAGGCTGAGGTGAGACGCTGACTGAGGAGAGGGTGAACCTGTGCACACAGGGGTAAACACAGCCTCTCGAGAGGCCTCAGGAAGAAGGCCTGGGCCAGGCCCGGACAATGGCTCTTTCCCAGCAATAAGGATTCCTGGGACCCTCCCTGGGCAACAGTACCCACATCACGAGGGAGCAGGAGCCAGCCCTCAGCAAGGGGGAAACAGCCCTGCTCCAAACTCCCCCACTGCACGCCTGGATTGTGTGTCCAGCCATGCAGCTCACCCATCCAAGCACTTCAAAGGCTAGACAGGGCCGTCTAACCGCCAGCATTACAGTGGCTGAGCTGGAGCCAAGTCTTTTAGAAAAAGATGTTCAGTCTTGAGTCAAGGAATGCAAGTGGCTGGCCTACGGTGAGTTACCAGACCTCTCCCTGCCTCAGTTTCCTGTTTGGACAATGGGGATACATAGAAGAGAAGGGTTCGGGTTCCCGTCTGAGCTGGCTGTTACAAACTGAAACCTGGCTGCTTGGCCTTGCACCTGCGATGCGAACTTCACCCTCACCTTCCGAGGGACAGCAAAGCCCACTTAGCAGAGAGGAGGCATAGAGCAGCACAGCTGGTAAAGCTGCACATTTCCCCAGCAAAATGATCAGTGCCCACAAAAGGCCTTCTTTGCAGGAACAGCTGGATCAAACAGAGCATTTTTGGCCTCTACATAACAACATCGAGCAGGAGGGGGGTGTGTGTGTGGGGGGGATCTTTTTGGGATCGGGAGTGGCGGACTCAGAAAAATCAGCCAGGGGCTGCACACAAGTGAGAAGTGTGTGTGTGGGGGGGGGGGAAAAAGAGCCCAGAAATCCTCACTGACATGGCCCCCGCCTGAGGAGACAGACCCTCCCACACACTATGTGGCCCAGATTGGTAGATTTTGGGTGCTCCAGTCCTACTTGGGGAAGCATCGGGGGAGGGGAAGGGAGGCTGAAGTGTCACTGTGGGAAGGATGGAATGCTGGGAGGGGGATCCCTGAGCTTCAAGGGCTGGATCCAGGCAAGCTGGGGACTGCATCTAGCTCCCAAGCCCTAGGCTCCCCACCCCGGGGCAGAGAATCACGCCTGCCCAACGTGCGCACCCCTGCAAACATGCCTAGAGCAGAGCTGGCGGAGAACATCAGCTCTGGGAGGCAAAGCCTGGCTTTCCCTTCCAGGTGGGCCCTGATTCCTCACAGGGGTCTGTAGAGGCTTTCGCAATGTAACTGGTAATGGAGGCATTGAGAGATGAAGGGACATGCCCAAGGGCACAGAGTGTGCTTGTGGCAGAACCCTGATTTCCCCACCCCTCCTCCCAGCACGCTTCCTTAATCCTCCTTTGTGCACAGCCCCGCCCTGCAAGCCCCAGGCTCCCTACCCAGCAGCACAGCCGTGATGGTGAAGAGCACAAAGGCATTTCTCCGGAGGAACCCCTTGACGCTGTCTTTGGTGATGCTGTACATCTGCTTCTTGGCCCGGGCCGCCCGCACCTGCAGGGCCAGTCGGAAGCGCTGCAGGCGGCTGTTGGAGCTGAAAAGAGGCTCTCCACGTGGCCCTGCTGCTCACTCATCATCAGATCGAGCCCCCGGTCCTGGAGACACGGCCCGTGGGAACCTAGCAGGGGAGACGCAGAGCGGAGAAAGAGAAGGCAGCCTGTCCTTGCCCGAGCCCACTGGTTTGCAAGCTTTTTTTCTCACAACCCACTTAAAGAAAATTGTTGAGCCGCGACCCAACATAACGTGACTAGTGTGTGGGCTCCGGGGTGGGGCTGAGGATGGAAGCTTTGGGGCATAGGGAGGGGCGTTGGCTTTGTGGGGGGACCGGGCTGGGGCAGGAGGGGCTTACCATGAGCAGATCCCAGTCAGCGGTGCAGCAGGGGGGCTAAGGCAGCTTCTGCCTCTGCTAGCACCGCAGACCAGGCTGCCCCAGAAGCAGCCGGCAGCCGGTCCCCAGCCAATGGGAGTGCAAAGCTAGCGCTCACGGTAGAGGCAGTGCGTGGCGACCTGCGCGCTCCCCCTCCTAACCTAGGAGCCAGGCCTGTTGTCAGCTGCTTCTGGGGTGCAGCGCAGCCCGCGGTGCCAAGACAGGCAGGGAGCTGCCTTAGCCCCTCCCACTGATCCCCCTGCAGCAACGAGAGCCAGCACCTGACGTTCTACCCCCCCCAGTCCTGGGTCGCAACCCGTAGTTTGAAAGCCACCGCCCTAACCTCGACAGCGGCCCTCCAGAGAGACTTGCTCAGGCTGCTCGGGAAGCCGGCCTGGAAAGCCCCAGGCCTAAGCAGAAACAGGCTGTTGCCCTTCGGGGGCTGCCAGGGGGTAGTTTCAAAGCGACAGTGCTATCATTTCTCCCAAGCAGCGGAAGGGCAGCCCCTCGGAGGGGAACGCAGGCCCGGGCATGGATGGGCCTGGAGTGCCATTCTCCCTGGTTTGCAAGAGAATTTGCAGGCTGAACAACAAGGAGAGTTCTCCTTCTCCATCCAGATGACACTGTTCTTAAACGTACCATCCAATGGCTCCAGGGAAGCCCCAGCCAAACTTCCCAAGCACAGTTCCACAGAAAGAAAAACAGCCCCTGTTATTTTCATGGACACAGAGGAAAGCAGCAACAGAGCTGGTCTTAGGGTCTGGGAGGGAGTTGTGACAAGGGGCAGGAGTGCAGGAGATGGTAAAGGGTTTGGGTTGTGACCTGGGGAGAAATTTTCCCCAGGTTTTTTTTTTGACAAAATTTTGTCTGGTATTTTTTTTTAAACCATGTGGCAACCCTACGGGCGAGCCGGGTGGTCACTCAGGGCCACCAATTGGTTAAGACCGGCCCTGAGCAGCAAACCCCCTCGGTGACTGTCACAGAGTGGGGAAGCTGTGGGGTTTTTTCCTCTGGGAGCTGTACATTTTCCTTCCATTGCACAGCTTTAAAGGAGCACGTCAGAACCATCTTCATTGCTTCTTCCTAGGGTGACAACGTTGCCCCAAAGGGACATGCCACAAGGCCGGCCCATGGCCCCCAGCCCCCCTCACCCATCTACATATGGTGCTGGCCTGAGCCTTCCCTGCCTCCTGGGTGGAGCCATCCTGAAGTCCCCTACTCCCAGCACACAGGGCCAACCCAACTCTGAGCCACCCTGAAGCTCACCAGGAGCAACATGTGTGTGGTGGGGGATGGGAGGGGGGCGGGGGGATGAAGGGTCACATGTGGAAAAGGGCAAGGGGCCAGCAGCTGACATGCAGAGCTGGCCAGGAGGACTAGCGAGGGGCCTGGGACCCTCAGGCAGGTTCCCTGCCTGCTGCACCCCCCACACGGCTCAAAGCGGCCATCTGCTGGGGCCAGCATGTCTCTCTGTGTGGCATGCCCCATGGGGAGGAGGGTCTCCACATGCTGCCCCCACTTCCCGCACAATCTCGCAGCTCCCGCTGGCTGGTTTTAAGCCAATGAGAGCTGCCTAGGCTGTGCTTGCAGGCATGTGCAGCACACAAAGTCCCTTCCCCCGTGGCACGTGCAGCGCAGAGACGCAGCTGGGCTCCCGCAGCTGGCTGCTTTGAGCGGTGTGTGGGGGGGGGGGGGGGGGGGCAAGGGG